AAGTAGTAGTCCTGATGCAATTTCAACATCTTCAGAACGTAAACGTGTATACATACGTCAAAATTCTGGATCAAATTCTAATACACAATTTGTCGGCTCACCAACAGATGCGCATAAACATTTATTACAAAAAAATGCTAAAATTACAAAGAAAAATGATCGTAAATCACGACAAGGTTTGTTTAAAAAAAAAAAGGAAGCAACAGTACTGTTATTTTAATGAATATCATTCACTTTTATTTCAATAGGAAAAGGTCGTGGTTTAGCTAAAAAAGGTGGTGGTGGTGGACAATATACATGGGGAGCATTAGGTTCTGAAATACTTGATGAATATAATGAAGATTTTGATGAAGATGATTTATTAGATTTACAATATAATCAAGCTAAAGAAAAATATATTACTGATTCATCAACAACATCAACAGAAAAAAAACTAAATCAATTAAAATCAATTGAAAATTTTGATAAAGATATTAAACCAATTATTGATGAATATTTTATTAATGGTGATGCTAATGATGTAGCACAATCATTACGTAAATTTAATTTAAAACAACATGGAGATGGAGAACTACTTGCTTATATAATAACAATAGCATTAGAAAAATCAAATGTTCATAAAGAATTAATATCACGTCTTTTACATGATCTTAATGGTATTGTTTTCCGTGCAAATGACTACATTAATGGTTTTAATGCTTTATTAACAACATTAACTGATTTATCACTTGATAATCCTGAATGTTCAACTGATATTGGTAAAAAAAAAAAAAAAAATTTTTTTTTTATTTTATTTTCTTTTTGTATTAAAGGTAAATTCATTGCACGGTCAATTGCAGATAAGTGTATTGATAATACTAATGACAAATATTTTGTTCGTTATAAAGGCAATGTTAAATGTCCAAAAATGCAAATTGCTCTTGATAAAGCTGAAACACTTATATTAATGAAAGATTTTTATTTTCTTAATAATGTTTGGGGAGCTCAATCAAGTATGTTCGAATGAGAAAAAAAAAAAAAAAAGATCAAATACTAAAATTAATACATATTTAATATTTTTAGGTGGTTTTCGACCTGTTAGAGAATTAGCTGATAAAATGAATTTAATTATTCATGAATATTATGATAGTGGTGATGCAAATGAAACAATACGATGTTTACAAGAATTAAATGTACCACATTTTTTTCATGAATTCGTTTATGAACTTATAGATTTTTGTTTAGAAAAAAATACTGAACGGTTAGTTAATTTATTTATATATAGAATTTTAATCTATTTCAAAAATGTTTATATAAATATCAGAGAAGAAAATTTAAAAGAATTATTATAATATTGACAAGATAAATAACTTATTCTATCTGAGATATAACTATTAACTGAATCTATCAGTTATATTTGCTTTGTTGAAAAATTAAATTACTAATAAATGTTTTTGTTTTTTGTTTTTTTTACCGTAATATTCTATTTTCAGTGCTGAACAATTAACAATATCTTTACTTGAAACATTAACAACAACAACTGTTATTACATATGATCAATTAAAAACTGGTATATTACGTTTATTTGACGATATTGAAGATATACAATTAGATGTTCCAAATGTATATGAACAATTACAAAGTCTTCTTAAACACTTAGAAGGAAAGAAAATTGTTAATCATGATATAACATCAAACATCCCACAAAAAGGTCGAAAACGTTTAACAAGCGGAGATGAAAATAATAAACAAAATTAATTAACAAGACTTTTTTCTATTAAAAAGGACATAAAATTGTTAATAACACCTTTTTTTTTTATGTAAATTCAACTAACTATATTAAACGATGATTTTCTCCGTATATATAAAATAGCATTATTTCAATAACGACAACGCAATAGATTACATATATGATTTTTCTTTGTATATATGCCTAAATTCTTTCTTTTTCTTATCTGACAAATATCACTTTAGTCAGAACTTTTAGACTATCTATTTTATCATTCTATTCACATAATAAACGAGCCTGGTTGATTGCCATATTATTTGTTTTATTATGAGATAAAATTTTACCATAGTCTATTTTAATCATTCTATTTAACATTTTGATAAATAAAAAAAATTTAAAAACTTAATGATATAATTAATATCCTTTTATATAAGTAATGAATTTTTATTTTCATTTTTAAATAATCCTATAGAACATAAAATAAAAGAATTTTTTTTCTTATAATTCATAATTGTTGCTAAATATAAATAAGAATTCTACACTTTTCATATCGATTTATTCTTCATTAAAAAGAAAATATATTTATTTAAATTCTATCAAACTAATTATTCTTCAAGCAAAATATATATATATCAGCATAATTTTTTTAATAGAGAATAGTTTTTCTCTTTTTTTTTTTATTTTTCATCATTAATATCAATTTTATTTTAGATGTATTTCAAAAAATTTAGTGAATAATTTATTAAAAAGGAAAATAAATCTTTCATAGATGACTTATTTTGAAAAAAAAAGAAAACAAACAAAAGATTATTTAATAAGATATTTCACAAACTATGATATTTATTTATAATACTGGTTTTTGTATTGTATCAATACTTAATGAAATATACATATGTTTATTGGTATGTAAAAAAAAAAAAAAAATTCTTTTGGACATATCGTTAATTACATTTGTTCTCTCGACAAAATTTCAATTGGTTCTGATATATTCTAGAGATCGATCGGAATTAGAAAAATATTAGTTATTATTCAATGAATTATCCAGCTTTCAGTTGCGTCTTACCATTAAAGGTCTACCAAGCAAAATATTTTGACTACAAAAACTTTGTTTTTTTTTTTTTTGTCTAGCATAAATACTTCTGATTGTGCTACTTGTGAATAAGAATATCTCAGGGATATTTTTTTTTCCTTGAAACTTCTATATGAATCTATAGAGTAGTGTGTTATTGTTTATTATTTAACATATGAATAATAGACTTGTGGCTGTGTATGTGTAAAAGTACTTGATTGTTTTTTACTCATATATTTCCGATATTGATTTTCAAAAAAAAAAAAAAAAATTCTTTTAGTGACTCCGACTGCTCCGATAGAATCGGAGACGGAGTCTCATATAAAGTTCTATTTGATATAAGATTAGAAATTTGTCTTTTCTCAGACAGGAAATCATATAAATGATATTGCGTGAGTTAAAATCTTCTATTTTCACTTCTTAATGCTAATGCTTATTATTCTTAATCGTTTTAATAGAGTTGACTTATATAATTGAATAAATTGAAGTTTTGAAACGATATAGAAGACAAATTATATATATCTATATATAGATTGAATAACGATTTTTTTTTTTTTCTTTGTCTAAAATGTATTATTACAAAGTATACTATTTAAATGATTGATTAACTGTCAAGACTAAGAAGAAAAAAAAAAAACTATATCATGAATTATTCATCATTATGCTTCTTTTTTATTTTTTTTCTTAAAATTGAATTCATATATTTGATTTATTTATTCTAATTTTTGTATTATAATAAAAACTATTTATTTATAAATTTGATAAAAGCATAAATAAATCGATAATGCACAACTGAATCATATCAATGTCAGACTTCTAAATGATTCCATTGAGGTCAATCATAATGAATCTCATACATAATAGCCTACGTATAAAACCTGCCAATAACCTTCAATCATATATGAAAATATGTTGCATGATAAAAACCATAGAACTGCTTTAAAAATTTCTTTCAAATAAAAATGCAATAGCTGTTTACAGAAATTCATAATAATAATTCTTGCCATCTTTTCAAATCGATTAAGTATGAAAACCTTCAATTTAAAGTGGTAGAAGAAGAAGAAGAAAAAAATGCCTAAATCAAAAAGGGTTCAATCCCCATCTAAAGCAAAAAAAAAAAGAAAAAAATATATATTCTTCTAATGATAATCATCTGTCATTTTCAATTATAGGCGAATGTCAAAAGTTTCTAGCGAGGCAATTCAATCCTTGTCTTGCCATCCATATACTCTTTTACTACCAATTTTAAATCAACTAAGTAGTTAACAATTGCTGTTAATGGTCATATTTTTTTTTTCATAAAGCATTTGTTACAATGTTTATATACACTATTAAGTAAGGACGTAGATGTAATTGGGGAGCGTAAGTCGTCTTAACGTTTGCATTGACAAACGAGAAAAAGAAAAAAATCGAGACATCTTATTACGATTCATATAGTTGTTTGACGACAGTCTAATACTACTAAAAAGAAGAAAGCGAAAGGCATAAAGATATACATAGACAAATACGGCGAATACACGCATGCATGTCATTCGGTCTATTTCAATACATATGTATATACATATATATATATTGATTGAGACTAGTGACATGACTATTGTTCAATTGTTGTTATAGTGTTGTAACTATTGATTATCAAACGGAAACAAATTTTTTATTTTCAAGTAATGTCATGTTGTACCTTCACTATTACGATGTAGTTTTTTTTTCTTTTTCAGGCACGTAAAATGTTTAAATGTTACATTATGTATTAATATTGATAAGAAAGAAAGAATAATAATATTACAATCGAAATTAATATAAATGATATAATGTATGTATTAAAAGTCTTTTAGTAAATGAGAATATGTATATATATATATTACATAAATTTCATATTGTTTACCCGGATACACTCAATGATATGATTGATGATGATAATAATAGTTAGGATTATTTATGATGTATTTATATAGGTAAGAAGAAAAAAAAAAAAAGAGAAATCGTGTGTTTTGTATTAGTTTTTTTCTTTTTGTGTTTCTTTTTTCTTTATTTGTTCTTTTTTTTTTTAGTTGTTTTTTCGAATATCGAACCTATTAGTTGTTCTTTATAATAAAAAAAAAAAAAGAGTAAATGCAAATATGTTTTTCTGTTGAATATTGTTTTATTTCATTTTATGTTCATACTGTATAAGTTTTTTTTTTAGATAATGTAATATTTATTTCTTTGTGTATTTTGTCAATTATGTCCGTCCTTGTATCATCATCAACATCAACAATAAATACTCATCATCCTTATTTTCCTAATCATAATATTAATGAAAATATTTCTCCAACAACAAAATCAATATTATCTACAAATCGTTTTATATCAAGAAAATTTAATGAAAATTATAATGGAAATATTGAGAATGATCATGTACCATTTGGTGTTGTTAATTCTATGAAACAACGTTTACTTGATAAAGCAAATGAATCATTATCATTAAATAATAATTTAATATTTAATAGACATTCATTATCAAAATTATCATCATCATCATCACGTTTATCATCAAATGAAAATTTACTTCAAACAAAATCATCAATATCACCATTAAAATATACAACACGTTTATCACGTAGTCATGATAATTTAATGAATAATAATAATAATAATAATACAGAACAATTTACATCATATTTACAACCAAAACAAGATGTTATTATTGTTGAAAGAACAAAATCAAATGATGAAAATTTTCCAACATATCGACATTCATATACAGGATTACATATGGATGAAGTACCAAAACCAGGTATGTAAAAAAAAAAATTAATATTGAAATATTTAAAAAAAAAATGATATATAATGTCAATATCATGAAGAAAAAAAAATTGATGATTTATTAAGTATGAGTTATTCAATATATAGAAGGTATTCAAAAATTTGTTTTTAATATTTCGAATGGACAATTTTTCCAGGTGTCAGTTTACTTTGTGATCGAAACGATATTCATTTGATGAATAACAAAAAAAAAAGTCTCGAGTGGTTTGTTTTTTTTGTTTTTGAGTCTTCATTCTTGAGATATTGAATTGTTCGGCTTGCTATAGGTCATGTGAAAAATCGAGTTGCAAGTTTAAACTTTTTACAAATCAAGTTCTCATTGTGAATATTTTATTGGAATAAGTTTTAATTTTTCTAGTATTTATTTGCTGAAAATGTAAATATATAAAAAAAATTCTTTTTCTTTTTTTTACACATAACATAATTTTGAAGATAAATGACAACTTACTTAATAAATATTGATCCCTTTGAGAATTGTGTTTATGTAAAGTTTGAAGTTGACAAACTCGAAAATCGATTTTTTTACGTGATCTAAGCGCGATGCAAAAAAAGCGAATATAAGTGTCAACGTAATTTTTGATTTACGAACGGAATATATGTAGGTTGATACAGAAAGTCTTGCTTTATCTAATGATGCATTCGTTATCAAGTTCTATTGCAAACTGCTCGAATGTTAATAGAAGCGCCATCTTGGTACTATTCAATTGTAGTCATACTGAAGCTAACACCCTCTATTGAGATATTTCGATAATACGCAATAAAACTTGATATAATACATACATTATTAGATAGAGGAAATCTTTCTGTACTAACTTACTTACTTTTATGTATATTTCGTTTATGAATCAAAAACTTAATAGTTGTCTTTTGATATATCAAGAACAGTAGCTACAAAAAACCAAATGTTTCTAGACTTTTTTTTATTAATCATCAAATGAACATTTTCTAATTGAAATTTTGAGGCTATGATAAAATTTGTTTATTTAGGCTCAAAGAATAATTCCCAACTAAATGCTTTTTAGATGAATCTTGAGTAAAGCCCCCGACACATTAGAAGACCCGGGGTCTTCTATTCTGTCTTATCGCTTATAAGTTACAAGAGGAGTCTTATATTATGTCCCCTAAAAAAGTTATATTATTCAGCAGTCTTTCCAACAAATCTTTGTTTACGTTCGTACTAAGAATAAGCAATTAATAAAAGAGTAGTTGAATACACATTTTGTGTTTTCTCCTTGGTCTTTTTTTTTGAAAAATAGCTTCAGGTTTTATTGAGAATAGAAATGTGTTCTGAGTCTCATGAGAAGTACTTACAAAAAACCGACGCGTATTAGAGACGAAAACCAAATCGAATTGTCAAATAATCTTATTCAATTGAATTCGTCTGAGGCGAACGGAATCCGATCGAAGATATTGCCGAATCGAGATTTTCTTATTCGTTTCTGTCTTGAGCGTATATACATGAATTCACGTTTTTTTCAATTATGAAAGAATGCTTTGTGATGAATATGTTTCAGAATTTCTAGAAATCCCAGATAATTAGGCCTTTTAATTATTATGCAACGAAGTTTCATCTAATATGCTACTATTTTACAAAGATTTGTTCATGCATTACATCCACGGTTCTGTACTGAGTCCATTATAACCCAAGACTATGAGAAGTTTTTTTTTTGTATAGAGAACCGTAAAAATTCCTTCTGAATATGTTGCAAAAGAGTACTAAAAAGATTCCATGATATGTGTTCTATAAAGAAATACATTCTTTACTATACAGTTGTTTCCGATTCATTGTTTCGCAAGACCTTTTTCACTTCGAACTGACGCATCATTTTCATGAAGGAAGGAAAATATTGTTCATACTGACCTAAGATACAATTATGGACTTAAATACTAAAAAAGTTAATAAACTTCAGAAATTATTTGTAAAAAAATCGATTTTATCAGGAGGTCTTCTAATATGTCTTTTGCTTCATTTATCCAACGGGGATCTTCTAATGTGTCGGGAGCTTTACTTGTATCATACTTTCAAATGGTATATTATTCAATAATATCTACTCATGTGGTAATAACGATATTAAAAATCAGAACGTGCAGATAAAGGACAACAGTGCATAAAAAGCGATTTTAACCCATCTTCAGTTTCTCTCCTTTCATAATAAAATAAAGCTATTTTTCACGGATTTAAATATACATGTTTGTAACATAAATGGATGAATTCATTCATCGAATGTTCTCATGCTAAAGCATTTTCAAATGAAAATTGTATCAATCAACTATCCATTTTATAATCTGTGTTCTAGTAAAAATTTCAGCTCGAAAGATTGAACTGTTCTTCAGTAATGACATAACTATTGTTTCAAACGAACATAAAATTTCATATCGTTTCGACATCATTGTTTTATATTCTCTGTCAATTTTTAACAGATATTAATATTTTGGCCAAAACTAATAACTTATTTGGAATTAATTTAAGTGTTTTTTAATGTATTTCAATAATTCTTTTTGTTTCGAAAAATTTAAACTAGAGTTTCCAGTCAAAAATTGAATTTGTGAGTCTGTAAAACGTCACTACAAGACAAATAACTAATCAATAAAAATGATGTTTTCATAAAATTCAATTTTTGCCTGAGTGCTGAGACGAACTTCAGATGAATTTTTTTCGAGAGAAAGAAATTCACCGAAAAACTTTGGGATATATTAGCTGACTGAATTTGTTATACTGATTTCGATATATATATATAATTAATTTTGACTCTAAGATTATTTTTCCAATCAAAATTTGTTAAAGATCAATATTTATTCGAGCTTGCAGAATCAATTGAAAATCATGTTGTTTTTTCCTTCCTGAAATATTAAGAAAACAGTGAGCAAAAATGAACGGAAATAGTAATGTAAATATAGGATTTTGACGTTCCTCTGTAACAATATTAATCTCATTCTTCACTAACATTTCAATGGTTCGAGTTAAAATTATTACTAAAGATAAATTTTTGATTGCATAGACAATTGACATAGTTTTTCATTTGAAAATATCTTATCATAAGAACATTTACATAAATCATCGTTCTATGAATGAATTGTCGATTTATGATGCAAGCATGAATATCAATAATTTGAGTAAAAAACAAAAAAAAAAAAAAAGGTCTGAATCTTTGAGAATTCATTTTATTTTAGTTACAACATTATACCTTATGAAACTCTTCATTAGATAAACTATGAAAGAAAATAAATTGAGGATGAGCTAAAAACAACCCATATGCGCTTCTGTTTTTTATTCTCACGTTCTCATAGTAATAGTTTTATTACCACAATAAAAAGATATTATCAAGTAGTAGTATGTCATTTGAAAGAATAGCATACGTACTCAAGGTTGATATAAAAAACATTCAGTTAGAAATTATTTTCGGTTCGTATATAAACTAATTTTCTTGTGTCTGATAACTTATAAAATACTCAGAATTGATATAATCATAATAATCAATTCTTTTAATATAGATTTCATAGGATAAGATTTCACAGTCTATTTCAAGGTAATCTTTTTATACTAGAAAATCCATGTATCGGTTCATTTCCTTTTAATTAATACTCTGCTTACATTTTTAGTCATCAAGTACCACCATATCCGATAATAAGATCTAATAATCTTCACATCCATAAACATATTTCATTAGATCGAAACAATCCCAAAAGACTAAACACACACATATATACATATATATTATTTGAAAAATAATATCATTCTATAGAATGTTTTCATTTGATGAAGGTATGATTAAATGAACATTATAAATAGTTTATATAGTTCTATTTTTATTTTTTAATTAAAAACAAAAGAAAAAAAAAATCCACGTTATTCTTATTCTTTTTCTTTTTGAATATAGGTACGGTTACAACAGTTAAAAATATGTTTGAACGACAAATTCGTTTAAGTCGATATGATAGTGATAAGTTATCAAATACATTATTACCTAATAATTCACGTATCAATAGTCAACATCGAGAAATTAATATAAGTCCAAGTCGTTCACGTAGTATATCACCAAATGATATGGCTTTACGACAACGACGTACAACAATAATACATACATCAAATCAATCATCAACACCATTATCATTACCTGTAACAACATCATATCCTGATGTTGTTATATCACATACACCACCAACATCAATACATATTGAAACAAATAAAATTCTTAATGAACAATCTGTTATAAATACACATAATCAAAAAAATGAGAAAAAACTTGCTTCATTAAATATTATTACTGATGAAACTACAACTAATAATAATAATAATAATAATAATAATAATATTCGTCCAAATCTTTTACTTTCAACGACTTCATCGTCAGATACAAGTGATTATCAACCACTTGATTTTAAAAGTCGTTTAGCTTTATTTAATCGTACAAATACAATTGAACGATCGAATATTAATTCTTTTGTTTCAACAAATATTAAAAAAAATTCAAATCGTACTAATTCAGTTCCATCACCACCTAATTTTTTAACAAAACCAATTCTTCATCATCATCATTTAGAAAAAAAAGATACTTCATTAGATTCCATTGTTCGATCAGTTGTTAATTCAACTAAATCAGTAACATTTTTTGGTGGAATAAAAGTAAATAATGATGTGCAATCAACTCTACCAGCTTCAATAATTCCACCACCTTTACCAATTATTAAAGATGAACAATTATCTACTTTAACATTAATTGATTTACTTCAAATTCCAGATGTTATCGGTGGAAATATTAAATTAAATAAATCATCGATTTTTTCAGGAACAAGAAAGGTATTAGAGAATTTCACTTATAATTAATTTTTCGGTGTGCTGGAAAAATGTCGAAAAGTAAATATGGAAGTAGAATAATATTGTAACAGAAAAATATCGAAAAAGATGATGTATCCAATAAATTGTGACTCTAATCATGTCTAGTTCACTCTGTTGTTTTTCTCATAGTTGTGATAGTATAGAAGTTTAAGCAATCGTGATTTTGACGACTATACTACCTGATAAAAATTAAATAAGAGAGTTAAGCGAAGAACTATTATATTAACTAAAATTCTATTGTCACGACTGAAACTGCTACATCTGAAAGTGACGTAACCCGATCAGTATCTCTAGCTTTTCATTTATAAATTCAAATAAAGGAAAATCTTTACTCGTAGCAGATTACTATGTTTTCAAACTGAATAAAACAACAATCCATAGTTGCTATGCAGAAAAAATAATAAATCAATTTTTTTCATTATCTGTTTTTGTAAATGTTATAATATTAACACTAACTCATATTATATAACATGTTCTTCACTATTCACAACTCTTCAAAATGTTTATCAACCATTTTTCTGTCGATATTATTTTTTCGACATTTTTCCTCTTCTATATTTTTTCTTTCGACATTTTTCCTCTTCGTTCTTTCGACATTTTTACGGCCAATCAATTTTTCTATATTTATGCAATTTAGGATGCGCGAGTACAATTTATTGATAATGTTGATACATTTGAATATCCATCATATACTGTAGTTATGGCTGAATTTGGTATTACTAGTTCAGATGATGATGATAATGATGACGAGGATGATGATAATCCATTAATTAAGAATAATAAAAATACTATGAAAAAAATTTCTTTAGATAATAATATAAATGATCAAATTGATGATGTTGATGATGATGAACTTGAAAGATTGGCAAGAATTAATGCAAAATTTAATTCAAATAATGTCACTGAAGAACCATTTCAATCAAAAGGTATGAATCTCAAAAGATGTCTTCCTACGCTCTAATTACTATACCATGTCTGTATATAAAAATATGCAAACGTCTTTTCTATTGGTCTCGAGTGATGTTTTTCTTTCTTTCATTTATTTCTTCGTCGCATAACTTCCTCCTATGTTTCCATTGATTTCTTATATTACGATAGTATGAGTACATTATATAGAAAATTTGATTTTGCCATTCTTTGTTAACAACATCATGTTTTATGAAAGAAAAGATAAAGCAAGAAAAATAACAGATGTGAATAAGGACAGGAAAAATATGCAGTAAAACAATGGCAAAAAGCAAAAAAACAAGTAATTTTATTGACATAGAAAAATGAAATTAAATAGTTAAAATGTATTATAAATTGTATGTAAAAATATAATTCTATTTTTTTATTTTTTTTATTTAGGTACATTACATACATTTCGTCCAACATATCTTGATCAATATGAATTAGGTATACAAAATGATTCTTTAACAAATTCCAATTCGTCAGATATATTTTCTCGCCAAAAATATTTTTCTTCATCAGAGAATTTTTCAAATCATTCCATATTAAAACAAGAAAAATCATCAATGTTTGATATGACAAATAATATTCAATGGAGTTCAATGTCAACAACTACTGATTTACTTTTTTGATTTCTTTTTTTCTTTGTGTTCTTCGCTATTGTAATTAATCATTTTCAATGAATTATATTTAGATTGTGTGTCAATGAATAATGTACGCTGCTTCTTTTTTTAAATGAATTTATTTGATGCGCGTGAACAAATTTGTTGTTGGGTGGCTTAAAATTTTTTTTTTTTTTTTTGTTTTATGAGACTAGATTCTTTCTAGATAATGGCCGATGATAACGATGAATATAATCAATTTTTACAAACACATCAATTACAACTGGTTTTTAATAAGATACCAAAACATCTTTACCGACGTTTATATGAAAAGATGAAAAACGAAATATTTGATAGTGGTTCATATTTTCAAATATGTCCAGTTGATGATGATGATGAAGAATTAGAAAAAACCTTTAATCCTGAACGTCGTTTTTATGTTTCAACACTTGGAAATGTTGTACTTGATCCTGAAACCGATGAAAATGCAATATTTCTTATTGATCATGCATGGACATATAGAATTAATGATGCACGTAATGATTTAAAATCTATTCCAAATTTATATGAACGTATGGCATCATTAATGAATGTTAATTCAGATACAAAAGATGATGGTATTGAATTAATATTACAACGTATGTGGAAATTTAATCAAACATATACATTAGCATCTGCACAATTCAATCCACATCTAGATGCTGAAGTTACACAAGAACCTTATTGGTAAGTTGAAAAGAATACGAAAAGAAAAACAATCTATAAATATTCTTTAATAATATATATTATCAACACAACCAAATCAATATTCTTTATAATGTTCCTCGTTATATGTCATGAATTTCTTCGTGTCAAAATTATATGTGTCTCCTGTGACATTTTTCTTTCTCTCTGAATTACCATAAATATTACTATTTATCATTGTATCCTTAAGTAAACAAATAGAAAATCATGAAGAAACAGAAAAACATAAATCTTTGCATGAAAAAATTTCAAAACTATATATCATATCACATAGTATAAACTGTAATTCAACATTGTGAATTTCAATATAGACTTATTTAAGAATATTAGAATTTGTTATTTTATCTATAAATTTACTATATAATTGTGTGTCATTCGATAAGAAAAATCAATTTCTTTTCTTTTTTTCTTTTTTCATACATTTAGGTACATAATGGATGAACTTGGTTCATCAATATGTCATTCAGATACAAATACAAATGTTTGTTGTACATCTTTTCTTTTTGTACCAACTCAAACAATGTTTACATTACTTTATCCAATTGTTCGTATTGAACAACCATATACTGAAATTTTTCGAAATTATGTTTATGAAAATACAAATGCACTTGATCGTAATATAAAATTATTACCATGGCATCGTGTTCATAATCGTAAAACAATTCTTCGTAGTTTAACAATTGAACAGTGTCCTGATTTATTTTCAAAAAAACTTGAAATTAGTACAGAAATATTTGAAGAAGGTCATAAAAATGATTTATATGATAAAATATTAATTAAAAATAAATTGAATATATTTAATAAAGATTATATTTGGAAAGTTTATACAGATTATGATCTTATTAAACAATATTTAACTGATCAACATTATCAATTAACTGATAATATTGATCAAGCTGATATTATATTTGTAAAAGAACAAATTCAAGATTTTCGTTATGAAACATTAAATAATAAATTAATTAATCAATTTCCATTTGAAAATGTATTAACAAATAAAGAATTATTAGCATTAACTGCTCGACGATGGAAATCAATATATGGGTATGCTTTGTTTTTTATATTTTAAACAAATCTAATCAGACATCCATTGCTCAATAAAAACAAAAAAAAAACATTTTTTTTTTTTTAATTAAAATAACATAATTATTTAATACTTTAGGAAAAAAAAATAAGCTTTGAACAAAATGAAATTCTAGGTGAAGTAATAGATTATTAAGTTTTCTGTAAATTTGTGAACTAATTCTAACCAATTTTTCTTTTGGGGATACTTCTTTTTTTTTCTATTAAAAAAATTCTATTATCTATTTAATTTTTTTTTTCTAGTGCTTCATCATCATCATCAACAACGACAATTGAAAATGATCCATACATTGAATCACATGGAAATCCGCCATGGTTACCGGTAACATTCGATCTCACACATGAATTACCTCAATTTGCTGTTTATTTTCAAGTAAATTTTTATTGATAAGTTTTTGTGAAATACGATATAAAAGAGGTATTGAAGTATAGGAGTAAAATTTAGAACCGACTCCCTAATGTGACTAGTGGCGTAACCAAGGGGTGGTCAGGTGGGGCTAAGCCCCACTACCAAAGCTTTGAGCCCCACCACCGAGCGAAGCCGCGTCAGCTAAACACTTTTACGAGCCCCACCACCGACTTAGAGCTCGACCAGCTGAGCCCCTCCACCGTTAAAATCCTGGTTTCGCCACTAACTGTGACATACAATTAAAGATGATTTATCAATAATGTTTTGTTGTCATATGTTAATTACTTATTGCATAACTCGAGAATTAAGTAAAAGAATGGCAAAACGATTAACTTCGCAATGAATCATATGATGTGATCTACGCGTACCCTAGAAAATTTAATTAAGAGCCAGTACAGGAGACATTGCATGAATATACCCTATAATATACATATTCTATATGTCCTACGGTAGTACTTTTGAATTGACTTTCTGAAAAAATCCTGAAAATGCTTTTTTTTTCTTTAATGTTTATTCGATATTCTTTTTTTAAATTTAATTAGTATCGTGAAGATCAGCAAATCGATAATACTTGGATAGTTAAACCAATAAATTTAGCACATTCATTTGATATATCAATTACAAATTTACTTGATATGGTTATTCGTTTACCAGAATCAGGCTCAAAAATTGCTTGCAAATATGTATCAAATCCAGTTTTACTTAAAATACCTGACATTGAAGGTAATGGAGTAAAATTTGATATTCGTTATGTACTACTTTTACGTAGTATTCGACCATTAAAATTATATGTTCACAAAATATTTTGGCTTCGTATTGCAAATAAACCATTTTCAATGAAAGAACTCGATGATTATGACGCACATTTTACTCTAATAAATTATCGAGTAAATACACATGTACGACAAATGGATTGTGAAACATTTATAACTATGTTTAATGAACAATATGGTCAACATGGTGAAACATGGTCAATTATTGAAAAACGTATATTTGAAATATTTCAAGAAGTATTTCAATGTGCAACAATTGAAGAACCACCATTTGGTTTTGGTTCATGTTTATCATCACGAGCTTTATATACAGCTGATGTAATATTAGAATATAAAAATCATAATAATAATATACAACCAAAATTATTAGAAATTAATTTTTCACCTGATTGTCATCGTGCATGTACTTCTTATCCGACTTTTTATAATCAAATTTTTAATGTTCTTTTTCGAGACCTGACCGATGATAAAGATATTGTAGATATTTCATCGTAATTATTTTAATAAATTTAGTCACGCATTATCAATAAAAAAAAAACAAAAAGTCATGGTGATGGGTTATTTAACAAAACAATTATATATATATATATATATTCACATAAAGCTAATTAAATTTATTTCATTATTGGAAAATGACGAGATATGATTTATGGACAAAAATGAAAAAAGAACGTCTCTATCGATGAATATATGAATTATCAGTTAAGTTGAAATTTTATTATCATATTGATGTTATCTGTATGACTATTTATTTTCTGAAGACGTTCATTTTCAGAACAATTTTTTTGTTTTTGTTTGTAAATCATCAATTAGTGAAAAGGATGAAAATAAATTTTAATAGCTTTTAATAATAAAAAAAAAAGGATGGTTTTCGTCAAATTTCGTGAGCTTTTTAAACAAGTATACTTCATGATGAAAAGAACATTTCATATTTGATGTGTCTAAATCAAGAACGAAACAACAGACTTCAAATTTTTGAAGTTTTTCTAAATCTCATAAAATTTTCGGTAACTCTTCAAAAGTCCATCATAAAAATCTTAAACTTCTTCAAAATCGCCTTACATAAGTATTACGATGAGAAGCAAGAAAAACATGATTCAAAATAAAAAATATTTATATCAAAACACAGCTGTCTCTATTATTACTACGAATTTTATCTAACACAATTTCCGCTGCTGTCTATAAACACATTAATGATGTGACATTCCTAGCTCGTAATAATAGATTGTGAAAAGCAACTTATTTGTATGATAGCAGAGGCTTCAGGATCACAAAGAAATTATGACTTCCTTAGAATTCTTTGAAGTCTCGTGAAGTTTCGAATTTTGCCATTTCTCTTTTGAATATTATAATCAGTGTTCACGTAAATTTATTGAAATAATCATAATATCGTTTGAAAAAATTCAAATAAAAAAAAAATATTATAATAGATTGTCATCGTTCTTTCATAGAGAGCATAGTCATGATGTCAATAGTAACTACCAAAAACCTCCACCGTATGAAGGATAGCCGAATGATCCATAACCATATGGTGAACCATATCCTCCAGACATATCATAATTATAAGGATTTCCGAAACCAAAATTGCCATACTGATGATGATGCCACAGTTCATAGGCGCCAAAACCAACAGCGCCAGCTAATAAAGCGTCACCAAGCAAATGATGATGATGATGCATATTGTGTAAATCAGAGATGGTCATCTCCATGGTAACAGGGCATAGGGTCGCTACTTTCTATTCCATTTCCCATTGACAGTAGCGACCCTATGCCCTGTTACCATGGAGATGACCATCTCTGGTGTAAATGATACTTGTTTGTTTGTTGTCAGTAAACAAAAAAAAACAGACTAACTAAAGAAGTAATGTCAAGTAGTCATATTTATATATTCATCATACAAGTAAAACGAATGGAGTAAAGTCACTCATGCGTGAGTTGCAAAACAAGACAAGAATAAAAAGCATAATCAACTTAGCCTACCACGCGTCATGCATTAATTAATGCATAATTTAATTTTTTTATCATGCTTTTAGGCGTGGTGAACGAAAGCGATTGAATCATTGGGTGACGCCTATCTACGCGCGACCTCAGAAATCATGACTACTTGAGAAAGGCGTATGACGTCATTACTAAATAAGATTGATCTAAATATTTTCTTTTATTTAGTAGAGGAGAGCATAAAGTTTCTTTTTTTTTGTCTAAGATAAAGTTCATAAATACTGTTCACAAGTATTGTCTTTGATTTCAATACAAAAATACGAGTGTTTTATAATATCTAAAAACAAAACATCATGTAACGTTTTTTTTTTAACTATGACTGCCATTTAATTAATCAGTAAAATAGATGAAATGGTTAATAGAAAAAATAAACGATAAATGCTACACTTATCAGTAATTAATTGTAAAATGGTCTATTTATTAAATATAACTAGTACCAAAAAGTTTTGATTTATGTAAGTAAAAAATAGATTTAAATAAATTGAAGAACTATAAAGTAAATAGGAAGAAATTTAAAGTATAGTGGAAAAAAAGAAGAAAATGAACATTGAATTATTGTATCAGTTGGTACATATAGAGTGGTACACCTTCATACCAGTCATATTTGATTTGAGTGATTCATTATCAGATGTATCTATTTTTAACTCAACAGTTTGATTTCCTTTTCGTTGGGACTAGGGATGTACCGAGACCGAGAGCTCGGTCTCGGTGCGTCTCGATCTCGGTCTCGCTCAGTCTCGGCCTTGCCTAGCCTCAACCTTGGTATTGAGTAGTGCCGGTCTCGATTATGCTTAATCTCGATCATTTCTTTATCATAGATAAGTGTGTTACTCTGTCTCGGGCAAAATTATATTTCTTTAAGCTTTTCGGCTGAGATTGACCGAGACTCTCGGTCTCGGTACATCCCTAGTTGGGACTCTATTATTTCTATTTATTTTATGATTTTTCTTCCACTACCTATTCATTTGATATGTTACTTCTATATTAAGAAACTTGTACTACTTCTATAATCACAAATATATCAGATTTTGTAAACCCAAAAATAGGCTATTTTTATTTGAAAAACACTAAATATTTATAGATGAGGATCGATATTGACAGCGACTGAGAAAGAAGTTTATAAGTTTCTTTTGATTTGTTCTAGATAATGAATAACAAGAATTAAAGCCATGATTATCTTTATTCACGAAATGTATGCGTTAAAAAAAGGTGGTCCAAAGACCAAAAATATATTTAGAACAGGTGAAGAGAAAGAAAAACAGAATAAATATGATTCATTCTTACGTCATGTCAATATTTGTATTGATCATTGAATATAATTTACTGTTTGAAAATGGTATCTAGTGATTTTTAAATCTATTCACAAATCTAATTAATTAATAACTGACCATAAATCATATTCTCTTTAATTGTTACGTTCCCATAAAAAAAAGAAATTTAATAATGTCCAGTGAAATGAGCAACGAGCACTTGAAATTGATTCATCCGTCAGCGAAGATTGTTTTTAGCTAGATGCAAATCATGTTTTTTTTTTGAGTCAAATTAATATATGAACTATAAAAAACTTCAGTATTACTATGTTTCGTATAAAACATGCTTCACATGTCGCTAATGAAAATTACAATAGGGGCTTTGATGGCTAAGTCAAGATCTCATACGCTGGTATGGTGACATTTACAACAAAAAATATAACTGATGTTCCTACAGTTTGAGGATTCATACATTTATTAGTACCTCGAGACAAGTTCTACGAAAGAAACATGACCGACCATAATGATCGGCCTTGGTAACAATGAAAACGACATATGAAATTTCTAAATTTTACTGAACACGCCTATGAATAATATTCGTCTTGTTTTGTCAAGATGTAAATCGATTAAAATCCGTCATTCATCGGACAATGTCGAATGTTTTGAAATAAAAGCTATACAAAATGTACATAACACAACTATTGTATCATGAAGGTCAACATTTATGTACTGAAATATTAGAATTTTTAATAGCAATTTTTGAAGATGAAGAAAAAGATGGCTTGATATTTTTTCGAACTGAAGCTAGTTTTTACATTTCTAGAGTAGTCAATAAGCATCATTATCGAGTATGAGCGGCAAAAAACTATTCATTTAAGTCGCAAGAAAAATACTTCTCTGATCATTTCTTTTGGAAAAACAAAACGATGCGAAAATTATAACGAAAATCTAGATTGAGCTAGTAAAGAAAAACTTATGTCTACCGACTGTTTACCGTTACTGATTATAACGCTGTGATACATGACTTGTATAAGACTCGGAAGAAATTATGCACAGAAAAAAATAAATATGATTGCTCTTCTGATGAGATATACAGATCATAGTTGGAACTATTAAGGTTTTTTTCTTATCGGCAGAAACGATCAGACCAGTCTGTATACTTGCATGAATAATTCTTCATTTTCTTAGTCCTATAAAAGCCCAATTAAGCACTCGATTAATAAAATCTGGATCATTATCTATACAGTAACTTACTGAAGTTCTTTTTTTATATTTATCTCCATAAGTTTTTTTTTGTCTTGTGGGATCTATGAGTGAACAGAAAACATCTTAACAATACAAATTCTACTTGAACTTGACACATTCATTCCCACTTCATCAGATCTGAACGTTATTAATTAATTATCTACTTGATATGCTTTTCATATTTTTTTCATTTTATTATCTCCTATTTTTTTGATATAAATCTAATGGGCATTTGATGGAGTATACTGATAAACTCTAATGTTAAGAGATAATGCTGATGGTTTTCGTCAATATAACTTGCAATGAAAGTAATTTGATAAAAAGTGGCAAGTGCATTAGGATGCATTTTGACTGAATAAAATTATTTAGTACATGTTTCTTCACATGAGTAGTCTTTTGGATCAATCATAAAACATGCTCAAGCAATAGGAGAAGCGAGAGAGGGTTCAAACATTTCTTGACGTTGAGATACTTACTGTGAACATTTTTGTTGTCTCATACAACTTTTCGCGAAATTTCGAAGCTCACTAAATTTTGACTAGAACTTTCTAATGAAACATGATTATAATAGATTAACAGTAGTAGAGTGGTGCCAAAAGGGCTTAGCATCTTTCATATCTCTTGCAAAACCATCGTTAGCAACAGTTTTAAGGAATTTTTGGAAGGATCTCAGACTTTTTTTCGTCTCTTTATGACGTCGTTTTATATTTTGTGAAACAGTATCACGGAGACATGAGTACATTTGCATATGTCATTGATATTGAATCTATTTGTTTTTCATATTTTTTTAAGATTATCTACTCATTAATATATAATGTATTCAAGAGACAAAAATTGTTTCATAGATTATCTTTCTGTATCAAATGTATATTTATTCATTTCTGTTTTTGTTTTTTTTAATATATTTATTTTATAAGAAACGAAGCAATACATTTACAAAAACAGGCTCTATCTAAAGATTTTTTTTACAATACAGAATTAGCAGAGAAAATCAATAAAATTGGATAAATCAGAGCATGAACGAAGAGATTCAATTTTGCATCTGAAAGTCTTTTCTTTGATAACTCATCTCACATCATTATTTCATTTATAGGAAAAACAATAAGTAAAAAAATCTTCATATCGATTACAACTCTAGCACAGATAGCAATTATATAGAATAATATGATCGATTGATTAGTTTGCTTACTATGGAAGAAATAATCGAGATATTAATAATTGTTAGATGTAATAGTTCATTCTTAGAAAGATATTTTATTTATTATTGACAAGAAAAGTAGAATAATATTACAATTGTTATTTTTTATGTATTTTCTATTTGTTTCTTGCCCTGTTGTTTTGTTTGTGAATATGTGCCTGTTGTAGAATGAATTTTCAACAAATCTCGTAATTCATTTCTATATACAAAAAAAATAAAATAAAATGATAACATTAAATCAATATAAATCTCATTCTTACGTTAATTCATCAAGACCAATTGATTTAAAAAAATTAATTGAAAATCGAGTATTTTTTAGATTATTACGAGGAAAAAGACTTTGAAAATATTCTACAATAGAAAACAAAAAAATAATGTTATTTTTCATTTGTCAATTACATACGGATTAATTAAACGATGATTAAGTTTAGTTAAACCAAGAAATTTAACTAATTCTAAAAATAAATTTTTAATATAAACACATGATGATGATGTTGTTTCTTCTTCATTTAAATGAATACGACGAAATATCTAAAAAACAATCGATTATACTTTGTTTGTTTTTTTTGTTATTGAATAAATACATACTCTCCATGATATTGAATCATTAGAAAGTAAATGTGTAGGGGAGCAACAAACCCAAAGCCTTGGGATTTGGTACAAAAAGATTTGGGTTTGTTCTAGACTAGGATTTGGATTTGGGTTTGGGTTTGGGTTTGGTCTTAAATTACTCAAATATGACGAGGCTTTGTAAAATAAAGTCCCAGAAGGGAGAAAAGAATCCCAAGTCTTACAAATTAATATGAAATGGATTGGATTTGGTATAGATTTGGGTTTTGGGATTTGGATTTGGATCTTAGATTTGGCTATGAGATTTGGTGTATAGCAGGTTGGGATTTGGATTTGGAGGTTGAGATTTGGTTTCAATTTAACAAGACTACAAAGTTGGAGTCATCTTAGATTGAAACCAAATCCCAAGTCCAAATCCAAATCTAAGACCCAAACCCAAATCCAAATCTTAAATTTCAAGCATATCACCAATTCTGAATCCCAAATCTCAGCCAAACAAAGCGATAGCAGCAATCCTGAGATTCAAATCTAGATGAAATCCATATCTAGGAACTAAATCCGAACCATAACCAAATCCAGAAACCAAATCCAAATCCAAATCCAAACCCAAATCTCAAAGATTTGGTGCCAAATCCCAAATCTATTCAAGATTTGTTGCACCCCTATAAATGTGCAAAAAAATTTTGCAATATTACTTAATTTAATATTATCAAGACAATGAATTATTTCATATTGATCTTGAAAAATTTTTTCAAAATATTCAACATATTCTTTTTTTTTTTATTGAACAAAGTCGTTGACCAACTAAACCAAAAAAATCTTTATATATCTGTTGTTGTGCACAATTATCAATAATCATTTGACATAATTCCATCTAAAATTAAGATTTTTAATTGAAATCATACATCTTGTCCTGAACATAAATTCAATTTAAGTAATTTATGAACACATTCTTGAGCACTTATACTTGATCGTATTGTCAAATAAATTGTTCGATGAAACATAAGTAAATTTGTTTCTATTTGGTCTATAATTGTTCGTTGTTGTTCTTCTATGAAACAAAGAATAGAGTAAAATATTGCAGATTTCAACAAAAAATAAAATAAAGATTTAGGACCTTATATTAGAAATTTATGAGCAATAGATCGTTCCATTCAGAGATGTACATCACGGTTGAAAACCGACCGCTGCCGCGCCGCGACGATAAAAGAAAAAAGCTAACGCTCCGCTACCGCACCGCTGCTGCGACGCCACCAAAAATAACCATGCCGCGACCGCGCCGCTGTCGCGATGATTGTTAGAATAATGTTGTGAATTTTACGATCTGTGACTATTCAGGACTTGAGCTGTTGTTACCAATCGATAAGATTCGTTGAATCTCATAGTTTTGCACTTGCAAACATTGAAATTCTGTTCGAATTCATGCATTTTTGCATTGTTCTCCAAAAAAACCTACCGCTACCGCGCCGCTGCCGCGATAGTTAGTTAAAAAAACGACCGCTGCCACGCCGCACCGCGATGGTTATTTGAAAAAAACAATCGCTACCGCGCCGTCACCGCCACAGCGGCAGCGGTGCGGTGGCGGTAGCGGCAGCGGTCGCGCCGCGATGGACATCTCTGATAGCAAATTTATTGATTGATTATATATCGTTGCATTGGAATTATCATCCACATGGTAAGGAAGGAAGTTACCGTTATTGTATAGAGTTTCATATAAGGTTTTTGTGGTGGAGAAATCTGAATCTTTTGATGGATTATCGAAGGGAGGCGTGTCAAATTACGGACACAATTCATCCAAAAATTTGAATCTAATTTTGGTATCCTAAGAGACAGCAAAGATATCTGATTATTTGACGCAATTTTATGCTATTCTTTATTACAGTTTATTTTTTCATGCTTGAGGTATTCGCATATATTACAGACGATCTCGTTATTTTCTGGCTCATGTAAAATAAAGGAAAACTAGACATTCTCATTCCGATTACAATTACAACTATATGTCAGTGATTAACATGTTACGAAATTCTTCTTTCCTTTTCCAGAAGACATTTTTTTCTATAAGTACGTGCCTTCCACAAAGAAAAAAAATGATACTACAAACACAGAATTTAAATAGAAAAGCATAAAACAATAGTTATTTGAAAAAGTTAAACGATATCCGAGGAAGTAGATATGGGTGATTGTATTTAGAACACTCTTGGTTTATGTAACCTGATCAGAACGAGATTTGAAAGTACATTGTCGTATAGCCGCATAATAATATTTTCTAATTTTGCTGTTTATCTTGGAAAAAAAATGGAAAATCTTGGTTAGAACTTAAAATCAGAAATGAGAAGATGTATCATCTTCTTCAAAGTTAATATTCATACGAGACGAAAGTCAACAGATTTGATCGAATAATTCTTTTCTGTATCATAGTATACTTTCGCAATAACCTTATTGAGTGTTGACATATAAAAAAGTAAAGAGAATAATTGCACAATCTGTAACTTGATGCAACTTAAATAGAATGTGAATAATGAAGAATAAAGACGAGCCGCGATCGGTGACCAAACACAACTCAATGTTATGAGACAGAAGCATCACATTTAGTCCTTCGGGACTATGGTTGTCGATCAAATCGATACTCGTTATCTTTTTTTCTTCAAATTTTTCATGAAAATGAAAGTAATAGCAAGAAACAATTTACCAATTAGTTTTTGAAAATGTTTTAGTATTTTCTACCTCAATCTTCTCTACAACAAAGAATTGCATCAAAATTAGCTTCTTGAAATAGCAAAGCAAAATTGATGCTGAACTAACTAGTAAAATTTAGATAGATTGACAGAAAATCGATGAGACTCTTGATGATCTGAATAAGTGTGTGAATTGAACGATGATGAACAGTAAATATCTAATGCAGACATTTACGACTATTTGAAAACATTTTCATGTCGAAAATAAAAATGAGGCATAAATTCATATAAGAATAAGTCTGGATATTGAGAAAGTACCAATCAAGCACTTCGACCCAGTCTAAGTGCGACATTTCTTCAGGCTATGAGTATGCAATAGAACATGAAATTTTCTATTTGTGACACAGTTAAGAAATGCATAGCTTCATCTGTCAATAGAAAACATCAATGGCGATCTCCCTCTGATTGATACTGATGATCAAGATCTACCGAGTTGTATGCGTAGTAAGAAAAGTGTCATTCAAAACAACTCAAGTTTAGTGTTTTATGTTTTCAGCTACAATGGGATGTAGACATAGTATTTAGTTTTAATCATATATCTTATTTTTTAATCGCTATTAAGCTTTAAACTAGAGTTGTAATTGAACTGGATCGATTGAAATCTTTGGACCAACTAATTTTTGATTCCTGTAATTATTTTCCTGATAAACTTTGCTGAGAATAATCAATCAGTATTGTTTCAAAGTTATGTTTTTTATTGTTTTTACAAAAAAGTACAATTAAAACTTTGCTACTTGAATTAAACTTAATCTCATATTGATTATTTGAAGAGAAATGTTAGGTTTAATCTATAAAGATTGAATAACAAAAATTCAGAATTAAACAAATATAAACGACTAGAATATAATAGTTTTGTTTTTTTATTTCCTGAAGATTTGTAAAAAGCTTGAACGAAAAAATGAAAAAAAGATTTAAAAGTTTTATATTTACAAAATAATTTTTTTATAAAATATTTTTAATAAAATCATTCTAAGATACTTTTGCTAAATAATAATTAATTTCTGTCAATAAATTATCATCATGTATACGAGCATTTTGTTGAAATTTAAGTGCAAGTTGAAAATTTTTTTGTGCTTCAAGATTTTGTTTTTGTTTATAAAAGATTCGACCAATATTAATATAAAATATTGCCGTAATTGATGAATCAAATTCAGTAATATAATGACTATGATTTAGAGCCTGTTGAAAATATTTCATTGCTTCATTATAATCACCTAATTTTTCTAGAATTGCACCAATAGCAGCAAAAGTTGGTGAAAGTAAAAAATCTTTTGATGATGTATGAGATGATGATTGAATATTTATACATTCTTGATAATGAAAAAGTGCTTTTGGAAAATTATTCATTTTTTGATTAATACGTCCAAGCATACGATGAATATTGTATAGATTTTTTTGTTTATTTTTCATTGTATTTTGAAGTAAAATTTCAAATATATATTTTGCTTTAATTAAATCATTCATTTCAAATATTATTTGACCTAATAAATAAAATTCATTTGATTTTTCATATTTTTTTTGTATTGTATAAGTTAAATCTTTCAATTTATTATTATTATTATCTATTAAAATTAAATTAATTTGCCATAATTTATTTTCAATACGTTCAATTTTATTTATTTGAAATATTGGATTTAATGAAAAAAGTATATATTGATCTGTATCATGATAATAATCTAATTCATCTAATTTAATAAATGGACATAATGTATTTAAATAATTAATTTCAATTTGAAATAAAATACATACTAAATTAATATCATTTTCTGATTGTTTTGCAAAAACATATGAAGATTCTTTATTAATTGTTGTTAATAAAAAATTATTAAAACATATTAAACCATTTATATTCATATATAATTGATTAAATTGTTCATTTAATATTCCTTGTCCATAATAGACAATTAATTTTTTATTATCATTAATTTTCATATGTAAATATTTTATTTGTTCATGTAAATCATGTATAAAAAATGATATTTTATTTAAAATTTCAATATCATATAATCTTAATGTTCTATTTATCATTGAATAAATAAAACATTCTCGAGTATACCATTCAATAGGTGATATTTGATTATAAGTATTATTTTTATATTGATTAATAATATTTAATTGAGAAAAATTTTCATTATAATGAAAATGAGAATATTCAATAAAATCAATTTTCTTTTGTTCATTAGATTCACTATGAATTAATATTTCTTTTAATAATAATGAACAAATAAATGATTGTTTTAATTCATTTGAATTTATATTTGGAAGAATACTAATAGATATTAAATCATTATTTGCTTGACGTATATCTCGTCGAAATGCATCACGAATTGATTGAAGATCCGTATAAACTCCTTTGACTTTTTGAATATCTTTCGTCCATTTTTCATAATGTTCTCTATTATTACAATAAATATAGATTGAGTGAATATATGTTTGAGTTTCTATGTGAGGAATAATCTTTTCCCCAATAGTACCTGATGTAATGATAAATAGTTTTTCTTCTTTAATATTTTGAATAAATTCATAGAATTCATTTGGATTAGAAAATAATTTTATTGTATTAATATATAATTGAAATAATTGAAGTGGATTTTCATATTGTTCAAATGTTTCATATATATTTTTATCCAACCATATAAGTATAAAATTTTCGACAATTTTCTTTTCAAATTTATGTCTTTGAATATCAGTCGTAAAAATTGGATTTTCTACTTTTGAATGAATAGAGTTTTTCAAATTTTCACTTGCCATCAATATATAATGGCCTTGTATTCTCTTGTCAACTACTTCTATTCTCCTAACACACAATTCACAGTCGTTTTGTCAACCACGAGGATAAAGAACAAGAATTTGTTGATGTAAGAAAAAAAAATGAAAAAAAAGACGCTTGTTGTTTTTTTTTTTCTTCCTCCAAATGCTTACAGTTTGATGGTTAACAACAAAGGTATTTTCATTGTAAAAAAAAATGCTGTTAAGCAAAAAAAAATGAACCGAAAATTGTATGTGATATACAAATGATTATTTTGTTATTTTTTTTCATATATGAAGAAGATTACATAGGTTCATTGTTTCAATAATATCCATTTAGTTTGTAATTTCATTGTCGTTGATGTAGCGTTTTTTTTCTCACATTACAAAAAGAATTCAGTGATTTTTTTTTTCCGTTGAACTTAACCGATCGAAAGAAATTTTGAGAATCTTAGATTAGAATCAAGTTTTTGTACTTATTTCGGACTTTATACACGAATTTTTGAATGACCTGAAAGTAA